AAACTCTTATGTAGCCCCCTTATAAAACTCTCTTATGTAGCCCCCTTATAAAACTCTTATGTAGCCCCCTTATAAAACTCTTATGTAGCCCCCTTATAAAACTCTTATGTAGCCCCCTTATAAAACTCTCTTATGTAGCCCCCTTATAAAACTCTTATGTAGCCCCCTTATAAAACTCTTATGTAGCCCCCTTATAAAACTCTCTTATGTAGCCCCCTTATAAAACTCTCTTATGTAGCCCCCTTATCAAACTCTCTTATGTAGCCCCCTTATAAAACTCTTATGTAGCCCCCTTATAAAACTCTCTTATGTAGCCCCCTTATAAAACTCTCTTATGTAGCCCCTTATAAAACTCTCTTATGTAGCCCCCTTATAAAACTCTTATGTAGCCCCCTTATAAAACTCTCTTATGTAGCCCCCTTATAAAACTCTCTTATGTAGCCCCCTTATCAAACTCTCTTATGTAGCCCCCTTATAAAACTCTTATGTAGCCCCCTTATAAAACTCTCTTATGTAGCCCCCTTATAAAACTCTCTTATGTAGCCCCCTTATAAAACTCTTATGTAGCCCCCTTATAAAACTCTCTTATAAAACTCTGGTCAATTCACCTCTTGTTAAATATTGTATCATTTGGAAATAAGTTATTATTATCATTATTATTATTATTATTATTATTATTATTATTATTATTATATGTGGGAAGATTGTTTATCCAATGTTTTCTGTACCCAACATACAGGCAGTGCCATGCAGAGGGGGGGAGGGGAGGGGGTGGTGGCCCCAGGCATCCAAATGAGGGGGTATCCAATTAGAGAGGATAATAAGATAGTGATTTGGGGCATACAATCAAGGAGACTTTGGGGCATACAATCAAGGAGACTTTGGGGCATACAATCAAGGAGTCTTTGGGGCATACAATCAAGGAGTCTTTGGGGCATACGATCAAGGAGACTTGGGGCATTTGTAGATGAATGGTTCAGAGAACCGACATGTTGATAAATTAGACACATGTGCAACTCTTGGGTATCTTTATTGAGGAAACGTTTCGCCACACAGTGGCTTCATCAGTCCATACAAAGGAGAAACTTGAAGAACAGGAGGAGAATGAGGTAATCAGTCCCTCAACCTTGAGTCGATGTGGTCAGTCCATCAATCTTGAATAGAATACGGCATACGTGCTGAGATGGAGCTTATAAACCGTTGGCAGGAGAGGTGCAGAAGTCATAGGTCGTGTAATATTTGTTCAATGTTGAAGTAGGTCGTGCCCAAGAATTAGGCAAGCGAAGAATTCCCAAGTATTAAGATCCCAAGAAGTTGCAGTGTCTGACAGGTTTGTAGATGAATGGTTCAGAGAACCGACATGTTGGGGCATACAATCAAGGAGACTTGGGGCATACAATCAAGGAGACTTTGGGGCATACAATCAAGGAGTCATTGGGGCATACAATCAAGGAGTCTTTGGGGCATACAATCAAGGAGTCTTTGGGGCATACAATCAATGAGTCTTTGGGGCATACAATCAAGGAGACTTGGGGCATACAATCAAGAGACTGTGGGGCATACAATCAAGGAGACTTGGGGCATACAATCAAGGAGACTTTGGGGCATACAATCAAGGAGACTTTGGGGCATACAATCAAGGAGTCTTTGGGGCATATAATCAAGGAGACTTTGGGGTATACAATCAAGGAGACTTTGGGGCATACAATCAAGGAGACTTTGGGGTATACAATCAAGGAGACTTTGGGGCATACAATCAAGGAGACTTTGGGGTATACAATCAAGGAGACTTTGGGGCATACAATCAAGGAGTCAGCCCCGGGCATCACCAGACCTCTTCACGCCACTATATACAAGTTAACTGAAATACACTGTAAAAGCATTTAAATATATTTTTTTCAGAGTGATGAAGATATCATTGGTTCACGACATGGCAGAAAGCGTTGTGGGCGACCTGACCCCACACTGTGGAGTCTCCGACGAGGACAAACATAAAAAGGAGGTCGCAGCCATGGAACACTTCATAACTCTGGTCGGAGAAAAGGCCGGAAATGAAATGTATAATCTGTTTTTGGTATGTTCGATTACAGTTGTGGTGTTCTGTAGCTGGGCTGGTAGCACACACACTCACACACACTGAGATCCGTGGTTCGATCCCCGGTACAGGTGGAAACATTTGGACATGTTTCCTTAGGGCACCTGCTGTCCATGTTCACCTAGCAGTAAAATGGGTACCTAGGTGTTCGGTGACTGGTGTGGGTTGCATCCTGAGACAAAATTGACCTAATTTGTGGGAAATGCTCAGCACAACAAGCGGTTATCTATATAGTAGTATGTCACTGACGCCAGCTATGGTCTGTATACCTTGTACATGTACAGTGGACCCCCGCTTAACGATCACCTCCCAATGCGACCAATTATGTAAGTGTATTTATGTAAGTGCGTTTGTACGTGTATGTTTGGGGGTCTGAAATGGACTAATCTACTTCACAATATTTCTTATGGGAACAAATTCGGTCAGTACTGGCACCTGAACATACTTCTGGAGTGAAAAAATATCGTTAATCGGGGGTCCACTGTACTTGTAGAAATAAAATTATTATTATGTGTGGAATATATAACAGATAGGTCTTTCTTTCTGGGTCACCGCCTCGGTAGGAAACAACCGATGTGTTAAAAAAAAAGTCAGTGCCTGCGGTGATTGAATAAATGATGGCGAATGTGTTTCCTTGTTTTACGAGTCACTCTGTTTTGGATGGAGATGGTCGCTAAGGTAAAAAATAACAAAGAACACTACAGTGTATATTTCTGCCTACCATAAGGCCCTCTTCACTCTGCTGAAGTTATGCCATTTACCACTATTGTATAAAATGTATTTTTTATTTAGCAAAGCCTTAGTCTGCCCGAAATGCCCAGGCATGCTGATGGCCTTCTTTGTAATTAATATTTTATAACGTAAACCACACACTGTAAGATTTACAAGAAAATAAGCATTTTCATTTTCATTATTTACTCGCTAATTTCTATTCAGAGAATGCATAATTTTTATTTAACGAGGCTACCATTTTAGGATTAGTATTCACTTAAAATTTTATCCTCCAAGAATGTATAATTTAACCCTTAAAATATATACATATTCTTGGAGGGTTAAATTATACATTTTTTAACCCTCCAAGAATGTATAATTTAATAATGTTGACATCTTTCAGGAATACGAAGAACAAAAGACACCTGAAGCCAAACTTGTCAAAGATTTAGACAAGTTTGACATGATCTTGCAAGCCTTTGAGTACGAGACAAGTCAGGACCGTGCGGGCTCGCTTGACGAATTCTTCAAGTCGACGGAAGGAGTGTTTACGCACCCCAAGGTCAAGAAGTGGGTCGAAGAATTGTATGTACAGAGAAACCGAGTGCTGAACGATCCAGCAGAACATTCTTAAATTAACCATAGACTGAATGTTTTGATTAAAGTCAAATATTTATTTTGTTCTGTGACTTTATTGATTAAAGTCAAATATTTACTTTGTTTTCTGACTTTATTGATTAAAATCAGATAACTATTTATTCTGTATGTAGTGGCAGGAGTCGGGTGGTAACCTGCGAGAGGATAGAACTGGTAGTAGTTAAGTGTGGTGAGATGGGATGGGTTTGAGAAGTACAGGTCAGCATTGTTACAGTGGTCTCCAGAGTGGGTAATATCCTTTTGATCAACAATTTGGATATAGAAGAAGGCCCCACTTATACAGCAGGTTAGCTTCTGGGCTACTGTAGGGCCCCACTTATACAGCAGGTTAGCTTCTGGGCTACTGTAGGGCCCCACTTATACAGCAGGTTAGCTTCTGGGCTACTGTAGGCCCCACTTATACAGCAGGTTAGCTTCTGGGCTACTGTAGGGCCCCACTTATACAGTAGGTTAGCTTCTGGGCTACTGTAGGGCCCACTTATACAGCAGGTTAGCTTCTGGGCTACTGTAGGGCCCCACTTATACAGCAGGTTAGCTTCTGGGCTACTGTAGGGCCCACTTATACAGCAGGTTAGCTTCTGGGCTACTGTAGGGCCCCACTTATACAGCAGGTTAGCTTCTGGGCTACTGTAGGGCCCCACTTATACAGCAGGTTAGCTTCTGGGCTACTGTAGGGCCCACTTATACAGCAGGTTAGCTTCTGGGCTACTGTAGGGCCCCACTTATACAGCAGGTTAGGTTCTGGGCTACTGTAGGGCCCACTTATACAGCAGGTTAGGTTCTGGGCTACTGTAGGCCCCACTTATACAGCAGGTTAGGTTCCTGGCTGCTGCTGTAAAGTGAAACAGCCTTTTTTTTTCCACTTTCAAATGCATATAAAAGCTTGATTAAATGTTTACACTATCATATATTAAGTGGGAATGGGAAGTACAATGCCTGCACTATAAAGGAGGGGTTCGGGATATTGGCAGTTTGGAGGGATATGTTGTGTATCTTTATAGGTATATGCTTCTAAACTGTTGTGTTCTGGGCGCCTCTGCAAAAACAGTGATTATGTGTGAGTGTGGTAAGTGTTGAATGATGATGAAAGTATTTTCTTTTTGGGGATTTTCTTTCTTTTTTGGGTCACCCTGCCTCGGTGGGAGACGGCCGACTTGTTGAAAAAAAAAGAAAAGTGAGCACTAGAGCTAGGCCTAAAAAGCGCATATACACTACATACGTTACCTTAAGATATTTTCGTCCTTAGCGGATAGTGAGTGGTGAATATATTTATTGTAGGAAGTCTGAATAAATGAAGACTGGCTAGAATTGAAAACCGCTGCATTAGCAAGCCGCCATTAAGTGAAGCGGGGGCTACATGACCAGTAGGTTTAGTGCTTGTTTGTATTATAATAATGTAAAGCGGGGTCTCCTCTAGTGAAGCCTAGTGTTACCACCTGACTAGCCAGTAATTTGCTATTAGTTATCTTTGTATCATGACTGAAAAAAACCACTCATCGCAAAACATTTCCTCAAATAAATGTCCTGAACTGTACAAGACTTTTAACACATCTTGTTGGTATCACCAGACCATTTTTCATCTTTCTTAGGGATGGTTCAGTTATAGGGGATTATATAGCCCTGGGAGAGGACGGAATGATACACATGGACATAAATAATGGAGTTATAAATACAGTGGACCCCCGGATAACGATATTTTTTCACTCCAGAAGTATGTTCAGGTGCCAGTACTGACCGAATTTGTTCCCATAAGGAATATTGTGAAGTAGATTAGTCCATTTCAGACCCCCAAACATACACGTACAAACGCACTTACATAACTGGTCGCATTGGGAGGTGATCGTTAAGCGGGGGTCCACTGTAGAAGATTTTGAGGATATCCCTTCAGGAAAGAACTCAAAATATGTAATGGACTCAAATTGGATAAATTTACATTTAGGAAGGATATGGGGAAGTACTGGTTTAGTGGACGGTTCTGTGCAGGTGTTTCATACCACTCGTCACGTTAAACCAGACAGTTACAATTTACGTCAGCGCTCTATGACCCTTATGGGTTTAGCACTTCCTTTTGATTATAATATGATTATAATAAGTGTTAATGAAGAACATGTATATTGCACTTGCCATGTCAGTTTGTGATAAATCTCCACTGGCATCACAGCAGTTAACTGATACACAATTGTAATACAGTGGACCCCCGGTTAACGATATTTTTTCACTCCAGAAGTATGTTCAGGTGCCAGTACTGACCGAATTTGTTCCCATAAGGAATATTGTGAAGTAGATTAGTCCATTTCAGACCCCCAAACATACACGTACAAACGCACTTACATAAATACACTTACATAATTGGTCGCATTCGGAGGTAATTGTTATGCGGGGGTCCACTGTATTTTTTCTGACTCTCTTTTTTGTAATAATGCATAATTAACCTTCAAATTGTCCAAACGTTGATCTATGTTCACTCGCGTAGCACTCCGAACGTAGATCTATGTTTTATTTTACATGCTTTCAAATGCAAAAAGAGATGTAGATCTACCTTCGGAGCGCAACGAGTGAACGTGGATCTACGTTTGGACAGTTTAGGGGTTAAAATTTACCACTCAATACATCACTTCTAGCCTTAAGTAGTGTAAGCACGAGTATTAGTCTATCCAAAATGTACCGCATGCTAGTGGTTGTTTGTGCTCAGTACAGTGGACCCCCGCTTAACGATCACCTCCGAATGCGACCAGTTATGTAAGTGTATTTATGTAAGTGCGTTTGTACGTGTATGTTTGGGGGTCTGAAATGGACTAATCTACTTCACAATATTCCTTATGGGAACAAATTCGGTCAGTACTGGCACCTGAACATACTTCTGGAGTGAAAAAATATCGTTGTTCGGGGGTCCACTGTATTTATTACATATAAACTATTTTGTATAGTACATAAAAAACATTTGTTTATATATATCATAGCACTAAATGCAAGTGGTACACATATACAGTATTATTATTATTATAATTAAAGTGGAGCACTAATTATTATTATAATCAAGGGGGAGTGCTAAACCCATAGGATTATGTAGCACCTGTGGGGGAGTGCTAAACCCATAGGATTATGTAGCACCTGTGGGGGTGTGCTAAACCCATAGGATTATGTAGCACCTGTGGGGGTGCTAAACCCATAGGATTATGTAGCACCTGTGGGGGAGTGCTAAACCCATAGGATTATGTAGCACCTGTGGGGGTGCTAAACCCATAGGATTATGTAGCACCTGTGGGGGTGTGCTAAACCCATAGGATTATGTAGCACCTGTGGGGGTGTGCTAAACCCATAGGATTATGTAGCACCTGTGGGGGTGCTAAACCCATAGGATTATGTAGTACCTGTGGGGGTGCTAAACCCATAGGATTATGTAGTACCTGTGGGGGTGCTAAACCCATAGGATTATGTAGTACCTGTGGGGGTGCTAAACCCATAGGATTATGTAGTACCTGTGGGGGTGCTAAACCCATAGGATTATGTAGCACCTGTGGGGGTGCTAAACCCATAGGATTATGTAGCACCTGTGGGGGTGTGCTAAACCCATAGGATTATGTAGCACCTGTGGGGGTGTGCTAAACCCATAGGATTATGTAGCACCTGTGGGGGTGCTAAACCCATAGGATTATGTAGTACCTGTGGGGGTGCTAAACCCATAGGATTATGTAGTACCTGTGGGGGTGCTAAACCCATAGGATTATGTAGTACCTGTGGGGGTGCTAAACCCATAGGATTATGTAGTACCTGTGGGGGTGCTAAACCCATAGGATTATGTAGCACCTGTGGGGGTGCTAAACCCATAGGATTATGTAGTACCTGTGGGGGTGCTAAACCCATAGGATTATGTAGTACCTGTGGGGGTGCTAAACCCATAGGATTATGTAGTACCTGTGGGGGTGCTAAACCCATAGGATTATGTAGCACCTGTGGGGGAGCACTAAACCCATAGTAAAAAACTTGCACACGAAAATCACTCACTACAAAAGCAAAAGACTCAGCAGACGATGCAGCATCCCCCCCAATGAAAAGCAGGGGTGTCACTAGCACGTTAAGAGACAACACAGTAAGTGTCAGGGGCCCAAGACTGTTCAACTGCCTCCCAGCACACATAAGGGGGATTACCAATAGCCCCCTGGCAGTCTTCAAGCTGGCACTGGACAAGCACCTAAAGTTGGTACCTGACCAGCTGGGCTGTGGCTCGTACGTTGGATTGTGCAGCCAGCAGTAACAGCCTGGTTGATCAGGCTCTGATCCACCATGAGGCCTGGTCACATTATTATTATTAAAATCAAGGGGAAGCGCTAAACCCGGAGGATTATACAGCGCCTGGGGGGGGGATGTGGAAGGCATTCAGGCTTAATTCGGGGAACTGGAGCACAGATTCAATTCCCTAAATCAAGAGCCCCTAACCAACATCAAGGAACCTTCCTTGATGGGATAGGATTATGTAGCACCTGTGGGGGAGTGTTAAACCCATAAGATTATGTAGCACCTGTGGGGGGTGTTAAACCCATAGGATATGTAGCATCTATTGGGAGACTGCTAAACACATAGGATTATGTAGCACCTGTTGGGGGACTGCTAAACCCATAGGATTATGTAGCACCTGTGGGGGGACTGCTAAACACATAGGATTATGTAGCACCTGTGGGGGGACTGCTAAACACATAGGATTATGTAGCACCTGTGGGGGACTGCTAAACACATAGGATTATGTAGCACCTGTGGGGGGACTGCTAAACCCATAGGATTATGTAGCACCTGTGGGGGAGCACTAAACCCATAGGATTATGTAGCACCTGTGGGGGGACTGCTAAACCCATAGGATTATGTAGCACCTGTGGGGGGACTGCTAAACCCATAGGATTATGTAGTACCTGTGGGGGACTGCTAAACCCATAGGATTATGTAGCACCTGTGGGGGGACTGCTAAACCCATAGGATTATGTAGCACCTGTGGGGGGACTGCTAAACCCATAGGATTATGTAGTACCTGTGGGGGGACTGCTAAACCCATAGGATTATGTAGCACCTGTGGGGGGACTGCTAAACCCATAGGATTATGTAGCACCTGTGGGGGGACTGCAAAAACCCATAGGATTATGTAGCACCTGTGGGGAGTGCTAAACCCATAGATTATGTAGTACCTGTGGGGGACTGCTAAACCCATAGGATTATGTAGCACCTGTGGGGGACTGCTAAACCCATAGGATTATGTAGCACCTGTGGGGGACTGCTAAACCCATAGGATTATGTAGCACCTGTGGGGGAGTGCTAAACCCATAGGATTATGTAGCACCTGTGGGGGGATTGCTAAACCCATAGGATTATGTAGCACCTGTGGGGGGACTGCTAAACCCATAGGATTATGTAGCACCTGTGGGGGACTGCTAAACCCATAGGATTATGTAGCACCTGTGGGGGAGTGCTAAACCCATAGGATTATGTAGTACCTGTGGGGGGACTGCTAAACCCATAGGATTATGTAGCACCTGTGGGGGGACTGCTAAACCCATAGGATTATGTAGCACCTGTGGGGGGACTGCTAAACCCATAGGATTATGTAGCACCTGACAGGGGAGCACTAAACCCATAGGATTATGTAGCACCTGTGGGGGGAGTGTTAAACCCATAGGATTATGTAGCACCTGTGGGGGGAGCACTAAACCCATAGGATTATGTAGCACCTGTGGGGGAGCACTAAACCCATAGGATTATGTAGCACCTGTGGGGGGAGTGTTAAACCCATAGGATTATGTAGCACCTGTGGGGGGGGGGATGTGGAAGGAATTCAGACTTAATTCAGGGAACTGGAGTAGAGATCCATTCCCCTAGATCAAGAGCCCCTCACTAGCGTCAAGGAACCTCCCCGAGGGGAGTGTCCATGTAGTGCCTGGGGAATGGAAGGCATTCAGATAAGGGAAGGTTAAGTCCAATTCCTTGGATCAAGAGCTTACCGACTGAAAGAGTTTTGAATCCATAAATTTTTAGCGCTCCTTTGTTAAACATTTTAACGATTACTTTTTTTTAAATATAATTTATGTTTCATTAAACACCAGCTGTAGCACTTTCTAGATGCAATATTAATGGGGAATGGGGGAGGGGGGGGCTAAACCTATAGGGGTCATACGGTGCCTGGGGAAACAGAAGATAGGTCTTGTTAAATTCATGGAAAAAGTGGTCACAATTCCTTGGATTAAAAGGCATTCATTTGCACTGATGCAACCCCTAAGTGCTAAACCCACACGGGTCATACAGCACTGCAGTCTGGTGGACAAGAACCATTTTAAATGAGGTTATTTAAATAAAATAATAAGGCAAGTGAAATTATTTTATTTAAAAATCAAATATAGTAACTGATAAAGGACAAGTGGATAATGTACGACACAATGGTCATTAAGGCTGCACGTCACCTATGTACCACCAGTCAAGAATACTCTTAATATTTTAATCTCACCACCTTGGTGAGAACAGGTCGTTATTATTCCATTTTTGATGCATGTTCATTAC